TTGTTAAGAACAACAAAAGAGTATGCTATTGCCACTTCACACTGGTCTAGGACAATAAATCGAGACAGCAAACCAAATGCCTCAAATTGCAGTTATTCACACATTTTGATTTATTCGATTGAAGTGCATGATAGCAACAACAACAACAACAACAACAAGAACATTTTCTAGCACTCATAGCAATTTCAGTAAATTAAAAAAAAATAATGGTTGTATGAAAAAAAAAAAAAAAGAAAATAAATTCAATACCCAAGCCATTCTCAAGTTTAATAAAAAAAAAAAAATAAATAAAAAACATTTTTTTAGAATGCAAAAGTCAACAAGCGACAAAACAAAATTAAAACAAAAACTAAAAGGAAAAAAATTAAAATTTAAACTTAAATACACGAATTAATTAAAAGCAAAATAAAAGAAAAAACAATTACATACACATACACGCATTATTAAATTTAAAAATTAAAAAAAAAAAAACTAAATGAGAACAAAGCAAAGAAAATATAAAACTAAAAATAAAAAAAAAAATTTAAATTAAAATGCCAAAAACTACTAAAGGGCAAAAATGTTAACTTAGTAAATAAAAACAAAAACAAAACATAAGAAAAAACACGCAAGAAACGATACAATATGCAATTACATAAAATGTTTTAAACAATAAACAAACAAAAAAAAAACAAAGAAAATAAAAAATAAAGAATGCAGATCCATATGGAATTCAATAAATAAATGCAAAATATTCGTTTTTTCTTTTACTTTTTCTTTTTCTCTACTCTCGGCTCGCCTTATTATTTATGTAGATATATTTAATAAAATTCCACGCATTTCAAACAAAACAAATGTTTTTACTTCACATTAAAATTAAGGGGATTAGGGATAGTAGGTCTTCTTGAAGCGACCCTCGCGATTCTTGCGGCCGCCGGGTCGCTCCGCCTTCGGCACGTAGACCTTGTCGTGCTGGTCGAGGGTGCGGCGCCAGGGATTGATGTCCCGTTCGAAGAAGCGACGACGCGCCTCCAATGCTCGCGTCTTGTTGTCAATCTTGTAGATCTTCTCCCACATATAGACCTCGGGCAGTTCCAGGTGCCTCGGCCGTTTCGATGCCAGATGCTTGAATGTATGCTCGAGAAATTCGCGCTGCTCCGCATTCTCGTAGTCGGCGGCGCGTCGCAGCGCCGGCCCGCCCATATAGGGCAGCAGCTCGTCCGCGGTGCGCCGAATGCTCGGCGCTCGGATATACAGCTCGAGCAGCTGACGGAGCGTGTTATCGTTGAAATCGACGCATTTGCCCTCAGTCGAGATCTCGGCGTATAGCGGCTGTGGTGCTGTGCCGCGACAGAAATTAACCCGCGGATTCGTGTCCACATACGCGCCATGCACCAGCAGCGTATTCAACTGATATTCATAGAAGCTCCATTCACGTCCGTTGGTGATCACGGTCTGTGTGTTCCAGGGATAGGTGAGCTCGTTGTAGGTATTAAAGCCATGGTAGTTGGCCTGCGCCAGCAGCCAGGCATAGGACGACTGAATGGCCAGTGCATGCAGTGCCTCGAGGTCGTCACGCTCGCCACAGGACTTGGGCCGCAGCTGTAGGTGGGCGCGCGACTGAAACGAGAGCATGCCAAAGTTGGGCGCATTGGCGCTGGGCCAGTAGCCGGGCACATTGACTGCGTGCTGATATTTGGTGCTGTAGCCTAAGGTGCGTGCATCGATCTTGAAGCGCGGCAGTTGCTGGGCGAGCGTCAAGTTTTCGCTCTCCTCCGGCGACTTCCATGTGGGCAGTTGATGGCGGTGGCGGAGTGCCAGGTAGGGCTGGCCTGTATACTGCACCAAACGATCGCAACTGTCGTGCGCATCGTCCTTCTGCCAGGGGCGGCCCTCCTTCGATTTGACCACGTTCTTGGGCGGATCAACACCGCCGACGGCCCAGAAGGCCTCGTGACGCGGATTGTAGTCGATTTCAACCTCGTTCAGGTGGCCATAGTCGGCACTGAGCACCTGCAGGGCCGACCGGTTAACCAGCTCCACAATGATTTGCGTCAGCTGCTGTTCGCGCTTGACGGCATCCGGCGGGGTTGCCATCAACTGCAGCTGATGCCTGCAACAGTCATTTGGATTAGGAATATTATCCATAGCAACATATTCTACTTACTTGTAGACATCGTGGGCATATTCCAATGCCTCGATGATATCGTCGCGCGCCATCTTTACAGTCGCATCCAAGTCATCCTTCTTGTCCTCCGTCTTAGCTTGTGGCGTCGGCAGCTCCTCCAGCACGGTGCGCGTGTAGTGTTGCGTCAGCGGCAGGGCATTGTAGGGTATTTTGGTGTCGTTCAGGTCGACTACCTTGTAGCCATAGTAGCGCGGCATATTCACCTTGATCATTTTTTCCTCAACGGTGGGCAGCTGGCGTATCTGCTCGTGCCACTCGGCCGCCGTCTGCAGCTTGCGGCTCTTGTACGAGAGATCCCTGATGACGGGATACTCTGGCTCTGCCGTGTATTCGGCATCAGCCACTGTCACTGCCTTGGGCTCCGCTTTGACGGACAGATAGCGGCGGCAGGCGGCATTTAGACGCGCACGTAGCTGCTCTCCACGTCGCAGCGTCAACATTTTCGCCGGTCTACAAATTTAATACAAGACTTATTTAAGTAAATAAAATACAACCAGCCGAGCCAACGAGGTTATGAAATCGAATCGCAGGCAGACCGATAGCGCTGCATTCTATAAAATCTATCGACAACTATTGCCGCAATATCGATTACCAACAGCGTGAAACATCGGTGACTACATCAGCGCGAATACATGAGGCTAATATGCAGCTCACAATTTGCAAACACACACACATAAATTATGTATGGGTGTGCTTGTGCAAATATGTTTATTATTATTTTATCTAATCAGTTTAATTTGAGAGAATTACTGATATACATATTTTTATTGCAGACAATAATCAATTGTTGTGCATAGTCTAGTGGCCGATGATTTGAATATCGATATAGATGCTTGATATTTAAAATAAAATATTGCAGTAAGTAAACTCTTTTTGAAATATATAATAAATACATAAACTGAAATGTAATTTAATAAGTAAAAATAATTTATTTAATAAATATAATCTGATCAAAAATAATTGATTTGATAAGGTACTGTAAGCTATGCCACGCTATGCATATGAGTATCGGTTTTGCTCGCTATCAGTTATCAGCATACCAGTTGCGATATGACGATCGCTTTTGTTTTGTTTTCGCACAATATGTTAAATTGGATATAAACAAGTATTTGCATGTATTGAGTATTTAGTGTTATTCCCACGTGAGTGTGCTTCCCAAAAACCGTGTTGGCATTTGAATAATAGAAGAATCTGCGCTGACCACGCAAATCGCGCCCACTTCTTATCTGCGAAGGCCTTCTCTCTTAACTTATCAAAGAAGTATTTATATACACATACATATGTATGTATATAATCTCTAATATATAATAATATTTATACGCAAACCTAATAGACAACGTCACGCGCTCATCAAACCAAATATCGTGAAGTGGCATGCACAAGAACATGTCCAATTTGACCACATTGTCTGCAGCTCAAGAACGCACACGGGAATGGCTCGCCTCGCAGGAGGATGAACTGGAGTCTTTAGCTGAGTCATCGGTGGTGGACAGCTTGGACGATTACAAATACAGTGAGCATACGTTTACCGAACAGGAGGACGACGACGACGATGATGACGACGATGTCACTGGCGAAGAGGTCAGCACCATTGCGCTGGGCACGCGAGAAGGTGAGTCAACACATATGCAAATATGCGCATATACGTACATATGTATACATTTATTTATACATTGGTAGGCACCAGCAAAGGCGGCATCATCGGCGACACACTGCGCGATCTGCTCAACTCGATCAATAGCATCCAAACAGTGGGCAATGTGAACATTAGCAACTCGACCAACGTTCACATCGGCAATGTGACCAACATCAATGGCAACATTCAGATCATCGCTGAGCATATGAAACATCCGCGCAACAAGCGCCGACAGCGACGCAAAGCATCGATCGTCGAAGTGTCCGAGGCAAACGAACAAGATCATGACGAAGGAGAGGAGCTGGACGAGTCTGAAGAGCGCGTCAGTGCGGATATGTTTATTAATAGTCACAGTAAGCAGAAAGAGACAGAGAGAGAAAGAGAGAGTGATTTACTAACTCATATATTTACAGAGTTCAAAATACCACAAGAGCTGTGCTGCATCATGCCGCGCCACTCCTGGCTAGCCCAAAAGCCCATGGAACCGCCCGTCCAGCTGCAACGGCCAGTCAAATACGTAGTTATATGTACGTGTACATCTATATATATATATGTTAAATATGAAACAGTTAAACCAGCCAGATATGATTATATATAGCTATATATAAGCCTTCATCGAGCCATAGTTTGGTTAAGAGATTGTAACTATTGAGTTTTGAGCAATTCTTTATAGATATATAAGCCTTTCTCAAACTCATAGATCAACTACGATCATAACTTTCCTAAGAGAGAGTATTGAGTGAAGTAGAAGATCCCTAAGATCTTAAGGCATCTCTCTCTCTCTCTCTCTCTCTCTCTATCTGTCTATGTATTAACCAGGCGATAGTTTAATCAAGAGATTGCAGCTCTCTTAAGAGAAAGCACAAGCTTATCAAGAGAGAGAGAGAGAGAGAAAGATCTATGACACCCTAAGGCAGCTCTTGAGGAAGCATTTTATCTTATAAGTAGACCACTATCCTATATACATATATATAACTGATATGTATATATTTTGCTAATCCACAGCACACACTGCCACAGAGAGCTCAGAGAAGCGTGCGATCAACGTGCGCCTCATACGTGACATCCAGGTAAGCTCGAAGCCTTCACTTGACATGGATTTATACTCATGCAACTCCTTCACCACGAGCAGTGCTTCCACATCGAGAGTCGCGGCTGGAATGACATCGCGTACAATTTTCTCATTGGCTGCGATGGCAACATATACGAGGGGCGCGGCTGGGAGGCAGTGGGCGCCCACACCTTGGGCTACAATAAGATGGCGCTGGGCATCAGTTTCATTGGTTGCTTTATGCGCGAGCTGCCCACACCGCACGCCCTGACCATGTGCCACAATCTGTTGGCGCGCGGCGTTGAGGATGGCCACATAGCCAAGGACTATCGCCTGATCTGCCACTGCCAGTGCAATTCGACGGAGAGTCCGGGCCGTCGTCTCTTCGAGGAGATACAAACCTGGCCGCATTTCTACAATCTTGCCCAGGAGGGACAGTAGTAGCGTATTACATGACTAGATTCGATATCGAAACCGAGATTCGATATATTTATACAGTTTTTGGTGATTGTCTTGGACAAATATTTTTAAGTATTTAAACTGTTTGTCCGCTTCCTGCACTTTTTTTCCTGTTGTGTTAACTGTTTGGTTTATTTTTTTGTTTCTGTGCAATTATTGTGAAAGAATACACGACTATAATATACGTTTCTTTCAATATATTAGATTATTCGACAGACTTTTTGTTTGTTTTGTTTTCAATTTAATTTAATTCGTAAATTTTAATTATGGAAACAACTCAACATTTTGCCCACGCATCCTGATGGCCGCCAGTTGACTTGGTAGCGCCTAAGCAGAGTCTGATTGACGAGCTGTGAAAAGAAATGCTTCGATTAGTACAAAATTTTACAAAAGATTTATATGTATATAAGTAACACAATTAGTGAAAAACACAAATAGAGGCTCAGCTTGCAGTGGGTTAAACAACGTAGGCAATGTCTGGAGTAGAAAGAGAATGCAATCTCTGTCTGCTTTCAAGGTATTGAACAAGTATTAATAGAGAGAGGCTGGCTAATTAGTATTCGGATGCATCATAACTTGGGTTTCGGGCAACTCAAACTCAACTTACACCTTGCTACAAAACTGACAGAATAATGTTGAAGCAATTAGGGCTTCTCATCTGCAAGGCACAGAGAAACGAAATAAATGTTTAACTAAAAGTTGAACCGTTTCGGAGAGACTGGCATCAAGGCCAGGAGCAAAGAGCCTTGTGTGCATAGCTCGCGTTTACATAATGCACAAATGAGCTAGTTCGTTTCTATTGGCTGGAACTGTTGATCTGTATAACGGGATCTCCGGCATCTCGATTGCACAACATTCGCTCGTTGCTCGATTACTTACGTGCGGGTCTGCCGTTGGCCCAGGGAGTGAATTTCACGTGGGTCTCGTTGCGCTTGGCGGCATCGGCACGGAGCTCGGCGCGCAGGGCATTGCGCAGCACACGGGCAGCAATGTTGGAATATTGGATGTAGCTGCAAAGGAACCGAACATTGAACGAGAGTTTATTAGATCATGAAGAACTTTTCTCGCTGTGCGTGCGTGTGCCTTAGAATAAATTGCAGCAAACAACAATTACGTAACGTACGTAAAGTGAGCACAATCAGCATATAGTATTTACAAATCATGAATTAAATTTGTTATATTTCAAATTTAAAGCACTTACGTAAGTCCAGCAGCTCTCCAGGCGTTGGTCATCTTGTCAAATCTTTTTGCTAATTTTTCGCACAGAGAAACAGAATTACAGACCTTTGCTAGTGCAGGCGCTTTCGGAGTTCGTGATGAGAGCTAGTGGTGCGAGCAATTGAGCGATAATTGAAACTATCGGTGCGTACATTTATGCAGCACTGACAATTATTTATATCGATGCTAATCAATTTTACAACTTTAGTTTTTATTTTAATATATTTAATGTATTTTCGACATATGTATAGGTGACTTAAATATAATAATAATAAATATATTTCTTAATAAGTTTTTCAGCTCAGTTGCAAACGACTGTCAGGTTTATGACATATTGAGTAGGGAATATCCACAATTCTCGCTGAAATATCGATATATCGATCATTTGCAGTATCACCAACTGAGCTTTGTTTGTGTTGTGTCTCACTTGCACATGTGTAACAGTTGTTGTTTAATATTAATCTTTTATTGGGAATAACTAATCCCATCTATTTATCTATAAGTTAGTCGAAAAAGCTTTACATGAATAACGAATTTTAAGAGCAATGACTGAACAGGTGTACAATATGTTGTAGTCCATTTAATATGCATGTATAGCGAATGTATTATAGGGAAAACATGTGCCGCTAACTTATCCAAAGGTTAAGGTTAAACCAAGCGCATTCATTAATTGCACAACTCTTGCTTAGCCCAGGCATGACGTCTGCCAAGCCGCAGATATTAATTATTGAGCCCTTTTTCGGAGGCAGCCATAAGCAGCTGATCGACACATTGGTCGAATGTGAGTATGGAGAGTCCAATCAGAAACTTTCTTATCAGATATATACATATTATTTATATATTATAAATAGGCTTAAATCTGGCTGACTATGAGATCTTTAGCTTGCCCGCTAAGAAGTGGCATTGGCGTGCACGCACCTCAGCGCTGTATTTCTCGCAGCTGATTCCGCCGGAACACGACTACAAAGTGCTCTTCACCAGCTCCGTGCTCAATTTGGCGGAGCTAATTGGTGTGCGTCCGGATCTGGTTAGCTGCCGGAAGATCGTCTATTTCCATGAGAACCAACTGGTCTATCCGGTGCGCGAGGTCAAGGAGCGCGACTGTCAATACGGCCTAAATGAGATTCTTACTTGGTAAGCGAGCTAGATTCGTATTAGAATTTCAATTGAAATCCAGTTGGACTCTTGCTTTCAGCCTTGCTGCGGACGTTGTACTCTTCAATTCGAATTTCAATCGCATGTCCTTTCTGGACAACGTGCAGCCCTTTCTCAACATCCAGCCGGACTTCAAGCTGAAGCACATACGCGAGCGCATCGAGAAGAAGTGCGAAGTGCTCTATTTCCCCATCAAGTTCCATGCCTTTCCCAACAAGCGCCACATGATGGATGCTGAGCTGAGCACGGCGGAGCCGCACTGCCTGCATCTGATTTGGCCGCATCGCTGGGAGCACGACAAGAATCCCAAATTACTGGTCGAAGTGCTGATGGAGCTGAACAAGCGCCAGGTCGACTTCAAGGTGACCATCTGCGGCGAGAGCTACCAGGCGATGCCCGAGGCCTTCGATGGCATACAGCAGAAGCTGGGCGCCAAGCTGATCAACTTTGGCCACTTGACGCGCGAGGAGTACATCAAGGCGCTGCTCACCGGCGACATTGTCATCTCGACGGCCGGCCACGAGTTCTACGGCGTGGCCATGCTGGAGGCCACCTACTGTGGCTGCTATCCGATAGCGCCCAACAAGCTCGTCTATCCGGAGATCTATCCCAAGGAGAATCTCTACAATACGTCCAATTCGCTAATCAAAATGCTGTACAACTGGTGCCGCAATCCGGATCTCTTTCGCCGGCATCGCGACAAATTCTTCGACTACTTCAACTTTGAGCGCTACTCGGCCCAGCATCTGGTGCCCAAGTACATGGAGAAGATGCGCATTACGGTCTAGCCCCGAGTCCGGAGCCGCAACGAATTTAGTTTTGTAAGCGCACACACACAACGAAAACTTGACCAATTTTGTTTAGATCTATGTAGTAGCTGAGGAATGCCATGCGCAAGTGTGGGGTATATACATATATACATAGATGTATACATAGGATACATAAGCTATTAAGTTCAATGTTCTTTTGTATATTTAACATATACACAGACATAT